TACACACCTGTTCTCTATCAACTCTTTTACACACCTGTTCTCTATCAACTTTTTATACACCTGATCTCTATCAACTCTTTACACACTTTTTCTCTATCAACTTGTTTACACACCTGCTCTCTATTGACTTTTTTACACACCTGCTCTCTATAGACTGTTTTGCACACCTTCTCTCGATAAATTCTTTTACACAGCTATTCCCCATCAACTCTTTACACACCTGTTCTCTATCAACTCTTTACACACCTGTTCTCTATCAACTCTTTACACACCTGTTCTCTATCAACTCTTTATACACCTGTTCTCCATCAATTCTTTTACACACCTGCTCTCCCTCAACTCCTTTACACACATGCTCTCTATCAACTCTTTTACACACCTGTTCTCTATCAACTCTTTTACACATCTTTTCTCTATCAACTCTTTACACCTTTTCTCTATCAACTTGTTTACACACCTGCTCTCTATTGACTTTTTTACACACCTGCTCTCTATAGACTGTTTTGCACACCTTCTCTCAATAAATTCTTCTACACACCTGTTCTCCATCAACTCTTTTACACACCTGCTCTCCCTCAACACTTTTACACACCTGCTCTCTATTGACTCTTTTACACACCTGCTCTCTATAGACTCATTCAGTGAGTGTCCTGTTGTCTGTGATAAACCAGCGTCAGTGTAGGCGGGCGTTCGGCCCCAGACTCTGGAGTTGTGGGGTCTCCCCGTGTTCAGAATCAGGACCCTGACTGTGAGCAGATATATTTTACTAACAAAAATGTCTCCATTTAAGGGAAAATAAACAAACTTTCCAACAACATAAAATCTGCTGCCAGGAAACATTTTAACAAAGGAATAATCAAACAAACACAACTTTCCTTATTAGTTTTGTTTCTGTGAGAAAAAAACTCTTTCATCTTTTAAATCTTTAAATCTTTTACGAGTTTTTGGTCACATCTTGTAAAACAGTTACAGAAACAAAACAAAATCCTTTTTACTGAATTATTGTTAGATATACTCTCTCTCTCTCTCTCTCTCTCTCTCTCTCTCTCTCTCTCTCTC